GTCACTTAAGCTCATATGTGAGTCAAGGCAGGTGAGCAAATACTTTTGGCAATATAGTGTATGTACTGTAAACTTCTCAGTAGACTGTGTGTTATAGTGACGCAGAAGATCTGGAGATGCTACGTTGGTGTAGCTTCTAGGTCCTGAACGGGGGAGGGAGAGGCAGGGTCAGTGTACAGGGGTCTTTGGTCCTTGTTGGTAATTTGTTGGTATATACGGTAGGTTGAAAAATAAAACTACAGTCAGTCACCTGGTGCAGCTCTGCGGCTGTTAGTAAATATATGTGTGATTGAATTTGAAGAAGATGAATCTTTCTTGACCCCTGATGATTGGTGGGTCCCTGGAAAGGTTCCTCTTCCATCAGGACAACAACCCTGAATGTAAAAGCAGAGCTCTCCTCCCATCCTGTAAATAGTTACAAGAAAACTTAATTCTCTTAACTTACTGAAAGAAATATAAGAATGTAACAACCTTTATGTAATTGTGTGTTTTGGGAAAACAAGATTTTTACACTGGTTTCAAGAGGCCTCTTAGCTACACTTTATCTCTGTTGTGCTGAAAACATCCAGGTCTGTTTGTCTCCTCATATGCAAAAATTTTAGGTCTCTCCTCCCTATAGGCCTTTAACTTAAGGCCATTGGGTTTTCTATTGTAATGCATGTTCAGGACCGGTACTCGGGGTTGTTTCTGAGTTAAAATGTGGGGGAGGGGACGTAGCAAAGAGATAAGAGGGGGAGCAAGGCCAGTTTCAGGTATGCATTTCCTGGGATAGTGTTGAAGGAGGCTGCTGCTGCGGTTTGGTTTTCATGATGGCCACCATTTTATTGAGGTCCCAACCTTTGCAAAACTGCTTCTCCATCTACAGAGGCCTGCCATGCAACTCGCTGATGGCCGGTGAGTTTTTGTCTTCTCTGACATTTAGCAACTTGAATAAACTGAGTTTCTTTATCTGCTGCTTTTGGCTCTGCTTTAGCTAGGCCAAACAAACCTGTCTTTCAGTGAGTTCAGGATTAAAAATATTTTGTATTAAATTCAGAGTTTTTTCAACTGGATTAAACAATCTTGATAGAGCATTTGGCAACTATGTTGTTTTTGCTTTCTGTGTTTGTAGACTGTCTTGTTTTTTTTGTTTCAGACTCCTGTTCAGACAGAACTCCCCTGCATGATGCAGCGTATCAAGGCAGGTTGCTCAATCTCATGGAGCTTATCGCTCAGGTAAGCTTGAAAGTGTTTTTTATTTTTCCTTTCACCAGCTTTTTTTCCCCATTTGATAAAAAAAAAAAAAAAAACTGAGAGCTTTTATTTGTCTCCAGGGCTTCCAAGTAAACACTCTCACCATGGATGGCGTCTCTCCTCTTCATGAGGCGTGTCTTGGTGGTCACCATGCCTGTGCCAAATTCCTCCTAGAAAATGGTGCAAATGTAAGAATGCTTGAAAATTTAGCATTAAAGTGCTATGCAATAAAGCTTCCTCAGCTCTTGTATAGATGTAGTGTTAAATCAGATACAGTTTGAATTTTGTGTTATTATTATTGACAATAATAACAATTATTATTAATCCTACTTTTATCAGTCTAATTATGATTATTATAAATATAGAATTATTATCTAATCTAATTACTATTAATATTGATTATATGATATTAACTCTTATCAATCTCTCCAATGCCTCCCTCAAGTGATTCAGACACCCCTCCCTCTGAAATTGACATTTATTCATTCCTTGCACTATTTTTGCACAGCGTCACCGCCGCTTTACTTGGATTCATAGTTATACATATGCATATAAGAGTTATATGTGTATCTATTTACATTTGTATTATCTTGTGTGGTTTGTGGTGTATATATGTAAAACTGCATCTGGAGGGTGTAACAAAAGTAATTTCCCTCTGGGATTATTAAAGTATTTCTGATTCTGAATCAGCTGCCAGTGAAATAGAAAAAAATCCATTGAAATAGTGACATTAATTTTGAATTGTGGTTCAACAGAAATATTAATAAAACCTATAGAAGGTTTTCAGTTTGCAGCTCCATTCAATAGATTACTTCCATTCGTCGCTGTCTTAATGGTTTTGGCCTAAAATTAACTTATTTAAATGGTATATTTTAATTATATCTGATTAATTATTCCTTTAGAAAAACTGCATTTATTTTCCTGCTCAAGATTTAACTTTTACCATAGCTCACCCATTTTCAATATGGCCATGTTCAAAAGTACCACAGCCTTAAGTTTAGCCTACTTAACCTTTTCTAGAGGCGGGGTAAATGTGCTGGGTTTGATGAGCGATGAGTTTCTTTATTGAGGCGGTGCTCGAGGACACACACTGACACCAAGCTTCAGCTTAAATTCAACATCTGAAATGGCCTTTCCACCATAACATTTGTTGACTGTATAATGCTGACAGGAAATTAATAAATATGAGAAAACTTGACCAGCTCTACCAAGACAGATCCCGTTTAGTTTGTGCCTTCCTCTAGAGCGAGAGCAGCCCCAGTGGAAGCCTGAGGTTTTTGAAAAGGGAGTTACTTTATAGGATGTAATAGAATGGTCATTTACTGTCTTAGATTTGGGAAATTCAGATGTTTCTGCAGCAAAGCAAATAAAAAGATGAAGCATACAGGTACATACAAGACTGAAACAACTCTGAAAAAAAGGATAAGCAGTCTGTATCGCAAAGGGAAACTATATCTGAGAAAACCAAATTGGAGTTATTTAAAATGGTAGACTCAGACTAAATAAATAAATGCTACAAAAGCAGCCAATTACAGAAAAAAAGTGGAAAAGGCAAAAAAAAACAAAAAACAGAACAAATAAGTTTAAATAGCAACACTGATGTTAAGAAAAACACATGAAGCAGGAGAAAAGTAATTGCAAAAATTGCATTGATGTTTGACAAACACTTACAAACAATATCATTAGCTTGTGTGAACTGAATGCAAGCTACAGCAAGTTCAAATGTCTTTACCAAGTCTGTACTAATCTAATCTAATTAAGCTGTCAGGTCATCAGAACAGAAACTGTTCTGCTGAGTCATTAAAGTCCCAAAAACGATTTATGCCGGAGGTAAATGTGCAGCCCCTGCACGTTTTCCTCCTAAATAATTTCCAAAACTTAAGATCAAATAAGATAGACCTTATTGATCTCACAGTGGAAAAATTCACTTGTCACATCGGCTAAATAGTCAAAAGAAGGTGCCAAAAGGAGGAAAAGGTCAATTAGATATGTTCAGTGCATTCACATTTTTTTTTTTTTTTTTTTTTTTTTTTTTTTTTTTTTTTTTAAACTGCTTAAGTCTCTTATTAAACAGCATTATTGTGCAGGGTATTAGCTTCACATTTATAAAGTTAAACTGTCTTCATCTGTTCTTTTTGGTTTATTTTTATGTTTTTCATTTTGCAAACTCAAATGTAATATAATCTTGAATGAATTTCCTTTCCAGGCTCAGGCAGTGTCAACAGATGGCGCTACACCTCTCTTCAACTCCTGCAGCAGTGGAAGCGCTGCATGTGTCCGACTGCTCTTACAGCACGGCGCCTCCATCCACACCACCCCCCAGCTGGCTTCCCCCCTCCACCAGGCTGCTAAGAAAGGTGCATGGGTGTTAAAAGCGACGAGTGTGAAGGTGTGACATGTTTTAGCACAGGTTTGTAAAGCTTTGTCATATCCTCTCCAGGTCACAGAGAGTGTATGGAGCTGCTGCTGTCCTGCGGAGCTCAAATTGATGTGGAACTGCCAAATGTGGGGACCCCGCTGTATGCCGCCTGCAGGGCCCCTTCAGCACAGTGTGTAGAGCTGCTCCTGCATTCAGGTAAATACAGTAGCTAGGAGGATTGAAGGAAATGTTTGGAAGTAATGCTTCAAAGGTACACTACCGTTCAAAAGTTTGGGGTCACATTGAAATGTCCTTATTTTTGAAGGAAAAGCACTGTACTTTTCAATGAAGATAACTTCAAACTAGTCTTAGCTTTAAAGAAATACACTCTATACATTGCTAATGTGGTAAATGACTATTCTAGCTGCAAATGTC